CAATAGGATACCATGATGACAACATAGGAGACAGGATGACATAACAGGAGATAGTGATGACACAGTAGGACACGGTGAGGACACAATAGGATACAATGATGACCCAATAGGAGACAGTGATGACATAAGAGGACACTTTGATGACAAAATAGGAGACTGTGATGACACAAGAGGAGATTATGATAGCACAGTAGAGAATGTGATGACACAGTAGTACACGATGATGACATAATTGGAGAATGTGATGACACAATAGGAGACTGTGATGACATAAGAGGAGAATGTGATAAAACAGTAGGAGACAGTGATGACACAATATGAGATTGTGATGACAGAGTAGGAGACTATGATGACACACTAGGGGACTGGGATGACATAACAGGAGACAGTGATGACACAATAAGAGACTTTGATGACACAGTAGGAGACGGTGATGACATAATAGTAGAAAGTGATGATAAAACAGGAGACCGTGATGACACAGTAGGAGACTATGAGAACCCAGTGGAGACTGTGAGGACACAATAGAAGAATATGATGACAGAGTAGGTGAATGTGATTACATAACAGAAGACTGTGATGACATAATAGGAGAATGTGATGACACAAAAGGAGACTGTGAAGACACAATACGATATTGTTATGACACATTAGAAGACTCTGATGTCACACATAGGAGACTGTGATAACAAAGTAGGACACTATGATGACACAATAGGAGACAGTGATGAAATAATAGGATACAGTGATAATAATTAGGAAATAGTGATGATATAGAAAGAGATTATGACGAAACAGTAGGAGACAGTGATGTCACAATTGGAGACAATGTTTACACAATAGGAAACAGTGATGACACAGTAGGAAACTGTAATGACACAGTAGGATAGAGTGATGACACAATAGAAGACCATGATGACACAATAGGATACTGTGATGACACAAGAGGAAACTGTGATGACTCAGTAGCAGATTGTGTTGAAAAAAGAGGAAAAAGTGATGTCACAATCAGAGACAGTGATGAAACAGTAGGAGACTGTAATGATACAACACAAGACCATGATGAAAAAGAAGGAGACAGTGATGACACAAGAGTAGAGAATGATGACACAATAGGAGAATGTTATTACTTAATATGGGACTATGATGACAAAATAGAAGACTGTAATATCACAATAGGAGATTGGGATGACTCAGTAGGAGATTGTGATGACACAGTGGAAGACCATATGACACAGGAGGAGACTATGAGGACACAGGAGCAGACTATATGGACTCAATTGAAAGCCATGATGACACATAGGAGACTGTGATGACACAATAAGAGACTGGGTTGACACAGTAGGAGATTGTGATGACACAGTAGGAGACCATGTTGACACAGTAGGAGATTTTGATGACACAGTAGGAGACTATGATGACATAATAGGAGAATGTGATGATACAATGGGAGACTATGATGACACAGTAGAAAATAGTGATGACACAATAGGACACCATTATGACACTATAGGAAACTGTGATGACACAGTAGGAGACATTAATAACACAATAGAGCAGGATGACAAAAAAGGAGACTGAGATTTTGATGACACATTAGAAGACTCTGATGACACACATAGGGGATTGTGATAACACAGAAAGAGACTATGATGACAGAATAGGAGACTTAATGACATAATAGGATACCCTGAAGATAAATAGGAAATAGTGATGATATAGCAGGAGACTATGATGACACAGTAGGAGACCGGGATGACACAGTAGGAGACAGTGATGTCATAATTGGAGACTATGATTATACAATAGGAAACAGTGATGACACAGTAGGAAACTGTAATGACACAGTAGGTAACAGTGATGACACAATAGGAAAGCATTATGACACAATAGGAGACAGGGATAGCACATTGGACTGTGATGAAACAAGAAGTGATTGTGATGACACAATAGGAGACTGTGATGATACACTAGCAGGCTTTTATGACAGAGTAGAAGACTATGATGACAGTATAAGAGATTGTTATGACACAAAAGGAGACTGTGATGACACAGTAGGAGACAGTGATGACACAATAGGAGTTTGTGATAACACATTAGGAGACTATGATGACACAAAAGGAGACTGTAATGACAAAGTAGGAGACAGAAATGACAGAGTAGCATGCTGTCATGACCCAGAAGGAAACTGGGATGACATAGAGGACACAGTGATGACACAATAGGAGACCATGATGACACTATAAGAGACTGTGATGACACAATAGGAGACTGAGATGACACAATAGAAGATTCGATGACACAATAGGGGACTGTGATTACACAGTAAGATACTGTGATGGCATATAAGAAACAGTGATGTCACAGTAGGAAACTGTGATGACACAGTAGGAGACTGTGATGACAAAAGAAGTGACTGTGATGACACAGTAGGAGACTGTGATAACAAAAAAGGAGATAGTGATAATATAGTAGGAGACCATGATGACACAATAGGATACTCTGATGACATTATAGGAGACTGTGCTGAAACAATAGGAGACTGTAATGACACAGTAGGATATTGTGATGTCATAAAAAGAGATTGTAATGACACAGTAAGAGACGGTGATGATATATTAGGAGAAAGTGATGACGCATTAGAAGACTATGATGACACAGTAGGAAACTGTGATGACATAATATGATACTGTGATGATACAATAGGAGACTGTGATGACACAGTAAGATACTGTGATGACACATTAGGAGACAGTGATGACACAGTAAGATACTGTGATGACACAATAGGAGAGTGTGATGACTTAGTAGGAGAATGTGGTGACCGAGAAGGAGATGATGATGAAAAAATAGAAGACAGTGATGACACAAGAGGAGACTGGAATGTCACAGTACGAGACTGTGATGACACATCAGGACACTATGATGACACAATAGGAAACAGTGATGACACAATAGGAGTACTGATGACTCAAAAGGAGACTGTTATGACACAGAATTAGACCATGATGATATAGTTGGAGACAGTGATAACACAGTAGGAGACTATGAAGACACAATAGAACACTGGGATGATATTCTAAGAAACTGTGATGACACAATAGCAGATTGTGTTGACAAAATAGAGAACAGAGATGACACAATAGGAGACTGTGATGACACAGTAGGAGATTGTGATGACACAGTAGGAGATTGTGATGACATAATAGACTGTAATGACACAGTAGGAGATGGTGATGATATGATATGAGAAATTGATTACACAATAGGAGATCATGAAGACACAATTGGAGAATGTGAAGACAAAAGAGGAGATTATGATGACACATTAGAAGACTCTGATGATACAGAAGAAGACTGTGAAGACACAGTAGGAAACTATGATGACACAATAGGAGACTGTGATGACATAATAAGAGACTGTGATGACATTTTTGGAGACTATGATTACACAATAGGAAACAGTGATGACAAAATAGGAGACTGTGAAGACACATTTGCAGACAGTGATGACAAAATTGGAGACTTTGATGAAACAATAGGAGACCATGATGACACAATAAGAGAATGTGATGACACACAAGAGATGGTGATTACACAGTAGGAAACTGTGATGGCACAGTAGGAGACAGTGGTGACACAGTAGGAGACCGGGATGGCACATTAGGAGGCTATGATGACACAGAAGGAGACTCTCATGACAGAACAGGAGACTGGAATGACACAGTAGTAGATTGTGAAGACACAATGAGAGACAATGATTACATAGTAGTAGATTGTGAGGACACAGTAGAGTTGGTAAGGAAACAAAAGGAGACTATAATGACACAATAGGAGACTGTGATGACAAAAAAAGTGAGTATGATGACAAAGTAGAAGACAATGATGACACAATAGGAGATTGTGATGACACAGTATGAGACTCTTATGAGATAGTAGCAGACAGTGATGACATTGTAGGTGTCTGTGATGACACAGTAGGAGACAATGATGAACAATAGGAGACAGTGATGACACAATAGCAGACCATGATAACACTATAGGAGACTGTGATGACACAGTAGGAGACTGAGATGACACAATAACAGACTGTGATGACACTCAAGAGACTGTGATGACACAGTAAGAGACTGTGATGACACAGTAGGAGACCTTGATGACACAGTAGGATACTGTGATGAAACAAGAGGAGAATGTGATAACTCAGTAGGAGACAGTGATTTCATAATAGGAGTCTCTGATGACACAAAGGAGATTGTGATATCACAATAGGAGACTGGGCTGACACAATAAAAGACTGTGATGACACAGTAGGAGACTGTGATGACACAGTAGGAACCTGTGAGGACACAATGGGAGACAGTGAGGATATAATAGGATACCATGATGACACAATAGGAGACTAAAGGACATAACAGAAGACTGTGATGATAAGGTAGGAGACTGTTATGAAACATAAGGAGAACATGATGACACAGTAGGAGATGGTGAGGACACATTATTATACAATAATGTCACAATAGGATACTGGGATGACAAAAGAGGAAACTGTGATGACACAAAAGGAGATTGTGATGACAAAGTAAGACACTGTAATAACACAGTAGGAGACTGTAACAACAGAATAGGCATCTGTGTGGCACAAATGAAGACAATGATGACACAATAGGAGACCTTGATGACATTATAGGAGAATGTGATGATACAATAGGAGACTGTAATGACACAGTAGGATACTGTGATAACATAATAGGAGACTGTGATGACACAGCAGGAGACTGTGATGACACAATAGGAGATTGTGATGACACATTAGAAGAATTTGATGCCACTATAGGAGACTGTGATAACACTGTAGGAGACTATGATGACACATTAGGAGACTATGATGACATAATAGGATACTGTGATGATAAAATAGGAAATATCAATAACAAAGAAGGAGACTATGATGACACAGAGGACACTGGAATGACAAAATAGAAGAGGGTGAAAACAAAATGGGAGACTGTGATAATACAAAAGGAGACTATGATGACACAGTAGCAGATTGTGAGGTCACAGTAAAAGACGGTGAGTACACAATAGGACACCAGGATGAAACAATAGGAGACTGGATGACATAGCAGGAGACATTGATTATACAACAGGAGACAGTGATGACACAGTAGGAGACCGTGATGACACAATCGGAGATGGTGATGACACAATCAGAGATTGTGATGACACAATAGGATCCTGTGATGACACAAGAGTAGACTGTGATGACACACAAGGAGACCGTGATGACACAATAGGAGAGTGCAAGGACTCAATAGGACACTGTGATGACACAATAGGAGATTGTGATGAAACAATAGGGGACTTTGATGATACAATAGGAGACACACAAGCAGATTGTGTTGACAAAAGTGGAAACAGTTGTGACATAGAAGGAGACCGTGAATACAAAATAGGAGAGTATGATGACACAGTAGGAGTTGGTGAAGATACAATAGGACACAATGATGACACAATAGAAGACTGTGATGACATAAGAGGACACTTTGAGGCCACAACAGGAGACTGTGATGCCACAATTGGAGACTGTGATGACACAGTAGGAGAATGTGATGACACAGTAGGAGACTATAATGACAGAGTAGGAAACTGTGATGACACAATAGGATACAGTGATGACACAGTAGGAGAATTTGATGACACAATAGGTGACTGTGATGACAAAGTAGCAGTTTGTGTTGACACAAGAGGGAACAGTGATGACAGAGTAGGGGACCGTGATGACATTATAGGAAACATTAATGACACAGTAGGAGACTTTCATGACACAGTAGGAGACCAAAAAGAAACAGTAGGAAACAGTGATGACACGATAGTAGAGAGTGATGACACAATAGGTGACAGTGATGACATAATAAAAGACTGTGATGACAAAATAAAAGACTGTGATGTCACAAAAAAGACTGATTGATGACATACTAGGATACTGTAATAACACTGTAGGAGTCTATGAGGACAGTAGGAGATTGTAAGGACACAGAGGGAGACTGTGAGGCAAAATAGGAGACTGTTATGACATAAGAGGAAACTTTGATGACTCAATACAAAACTGTAATGACACAATAGGAGACTGTGATGACACAGTAGGAGACTGTGATGACACAATAGGAGATTGTGATGACAAAATAGGAGACTGTGATGGCACATTGGGAGACAATGATGACTAAATTGGAGACTGTGATGACACAATAGGTGACTGTGATGACACAGTAGGTGACAGTGATGACACAAACATAGACAATGATGACACAATAGGAGACTATGATGACACAGTAGTAGACTGTAGAAGACACAATAGGAGATTGTGATTACACATTAGAAGACTCTGATGACACACTAGGAGCTTGTGTTGACACAGTAGGAGACAACGATGACACAATAGGAGACTCTGATGACAAAATAAGAGACTGTGATGACAAAGTAGGAGACAGTGATGACACAGTAGCAGATTATGATGACACAGTAAGAGATTTGGATGACATACTAGGAGAATGTGATGTCACAGTTGGAGACTATGATTACACAATAGGAAAGAATGATGACACAATAGGGAATGTGAACATACATTTACAGACAATGATGACACAATTGAAGACTGTGATGAAGCAATAGGTGACTGTGATGACACTATAGGAAACTGTGATGATACAATAGGAGACTGTGATGACACAATAGCAGACTGAGATGACAGAATAGAAGACTGCGATGACACAATAGGAGACTGTGATGACAAAGTAGGAGACAGTGGTGACACATAGCAGAATTTATTGACACAGTAGGAAACTAGGATGACATAGTAGAGACTGTGATGTCACAGTTGGAGACAAGTTTATACAACAGAAAGAAGTAATGACACAATAGGAGACTGTGAAGACACATTTGCAGACAAGGATGATAGAATTGGAGAATATGATGATTCAATATGTGACTGTGATGACGCAGTAGGAGACCGTGATGACACAAGAGGAGAACATGATGACACTATAGGAGACTGTGATGGCAAAACAGGAGACTGTGGTGATACAAAAGGGAACTTTGATGACACATTATGAGACTGTGATGACACATTAGAAGACCCTGATGCCACAATAGGAGACTGAGAAGACCCAAAAGAAGACTGAGATGACACAATAGAAGACTGACATGACACAATAAGAGACTGTGATGACACACATGAAACAGTGATGTCACAGTAGGAAAATGTGATGTCACACTAGGAGACAGTGATAACACAATTAGAGACCGGGATGACACAGTATGAGACTGTGATGACAAAATAGGAGACCGTGAGGACACAATAGGAGACTGTGATAACAAAATAGGAGACTGTGGTGATACAAAAGGGAACTTAGATGACAGTGGTGACTGTGATGACACAATAGGAGACTGGGATGACACAGTGGGAGACCATGTTGACACAGTAGGAGACTATGATGACACAATAGGAGACTCTGAAAACATAATAGGAGAATGCGATGATGCAATAGGAGCCTATGATGACACAGTAGGAATCTGTGATGACATAACAGGAGACTGTGATGACACATGAGGAGACAGTATTGATAATAGAGAAAGTGATGACACAATAAGAGACAGTGATGAAACAATAGGAGAATGTGATGACACAGTGGAGAAAGTGATGACACAATAGAAGATTTTGATGACAAATTAGAAGACTGTGATGACACAGTAGGAGACTGTTATGACACAGTAGGAAAGTGTAATGACACAGTAGGAGACAGTGATGACACAATAGGAAACCATGATGTCAAAATAAGAGAGAGTGATGGCACACTAGACTGTGATGACATAAGAAGTGATTGTGATGACACAATAGGAGACTGTGATGATACACTAGGAGGCTTATATGACACAGTAGAAGATGATGATGACAGAATAAGGGATTGTGATGACACAAAAGGAGACTGTGATGACACAGTAGGAGACAGTGATGACACACTAGGAGTTTGTGATTACACATTGGGAGACTATGATGACACAATTGGAGACTGTGATGACAAAGTAGGAGACAGTAATGACACAGTAGCAGACTGTCATTCCCAGAAGGAGACTGGGATGACATAGTGGAGACTGTGATGACACAGTAGGAGACTTTGATGACACAATAGGTGACTGTGATGACAAAGTAGCAGTTCGTGTTGACACAAGAGGGAACAGTGATGACAGAGTAGGGGACTGTGATGACATTATAGGAAATATTAATGACACAGTAGGAGACTTTCATGACACAGTAGGAGACCAAAAAGAAACAGTAGGAAACAGTGATGACACGATAGTAGAGAGTGATGACACAATAGGTGACAGTGATGACATAATAAAAGAATGTGATGACAAAATAAAAGACTGTGATGTCACAAAAAAAGACTGATGACATACTAGGATACTGTAATAACACTGTAGGAGTCTATGAGGACAGTAGGAGATTGTAAGGACACAGTGGGAGACTGTGAGGCAAAAAAGGAGACTGTTATGACATAAGAGGAAACTTTGATGACTCAATACAAAACTGTAATGACACAATAGGAGACTGTGATGACACAGTAGGAGACTGTGATGACACAATAGGAGATTGTGATGACAAAATAGGAGACTGTGATGGCACATTGGGAGACAATGATGACTAAATTGGAGACTGTGATGACACAATAGGTGACTGTGATGACACAGTAGGTGACAGTGATGACACAAACATAGACAATGATGACACAATAGGAGACTATGATGACACAGTAGTAGACGGTAGAAGACACAATAGGAGATTGTGATTACACATTAGAAGACTCTGATGACACACTAGGAGCTTGTGTTGACACAGTAGGAGACAACGATGACACAATAGGAGACTCTGATGACAAAATAAGAGACTGTGATGACAAAGTAGGAGACAGTGATGACACAGTAGCAGATTATGATGACACAGTAAGAGATTTGGATGACATACTAGGAGAATGTGATGTCACAGTTGGAGACTATGATTACACAATAGGAAAGAATGATGACACAATAGGGAATGTGAACATACATTTACAGACAATGATGACACAATTGAAGACTGTGATGAAGCAATAGGTGACTGTGATGACACTATAGGAAACTGTGATGATACAATAGGAGACTGTGATGACACAATAGCAGACTGAGATGACAGAATAGAAGACTGCGATGACACAATAGGAGACTGTGATGACAAAGTAGGAGACAGTGGTGACACATAGCAGACTTTATTGACACAGTAGGAAACTAGGATGACATAGTAGAGACTGTGATGTCACAGTTGGAGACAAGTTTATACAACAGAAAGAAGTAATGACACAATAGGAGACTGTGAAGACACATTTGCAGACAAGGATGATAGAATTGGAGAATATGATGATTCAATATGTGACTGTGATGACGCAGTAGGAGACCGTGATGACACAAGAGGAGAACATGATGACACTATAGGAGACTGTGATGGCAAAACAGGAGACTGTGGTGATACAAAAGGGAACTTTGATGACACATTATGAGACTGTGATGACACATTAGAAGACCCTGATGCCACAATAGGAGACTGAGAAGACCCAAAAGAAGACTGAGATGACACAATAGAAGACTGACATGACACAATAAGAGACTGTGATAACACACATGAAACAGTGATGTCACAGTAGGAAAATGTGATGTCACACTAGGAGACAGTGATAACACAATTAGAGACCGGGATGACACAGTATGAGACTGTGATGACAAAATAGGAGACCGTGAGGACACAATAGGAGACTGTGATAACAAAATAGGAGACTGTGGTGATACAAAAGGGAACTTAGATGACAGTGGTGACTGTGATGACACAATAGGAGACTGGGATGACACAGTGGGAGACCATGTTGACACAGTAGGAGACTATGATGACACAATAGGAGACTCTGAAAACATAATAGGAGAATGCGATGATGCAATAGGAGCCTATGATGACACAGTAGGAATCTGTGATGACATAACAGGAGACTGTGATGACACATGAGGAGACAGTATTGATAATAGAGAAAGTGATGACACAATAAGAGACAGTGATGAAACAATAGGAGAATGTGATGACACAGTGGAGAAAGTGATGACACAATAGAAGATTTTGATGACAAATTAGAAGACTGTGATGACACAGTAGGAGACTGTTATGACACAGTAGGAAAGTGTAATGACACAGTAGGAGACAGTGATGACACAATAGGAAACCATGATGTCAAAATAAGAGAGAGTGATGGCACACTAGACTGTGATGACATAAGAAGTGATTGTGATGACACAATAGGAGACTGTGATGATACACTAGGAGGCTTATATGACACAGTAGAAGATGATGATGACAGAATAAGGGATTGTGATGACACAAAAGGAGACTGTGATGACACAGTAGGAGACAGTGATGACACACTAGGAGTTTGTGATTACACATTGGGAGACTATGATGACACAATTGGAGACTGTGATGACAAAGTAGGAGACAGTAATGACACAGTAGCAGACTGTCATTCCCAGAAGGAGACTGGGATGACATAGTGGAGACTGTGATGACACAGTAGGAGACTTTGATGACACAATAGGTGACTGTGATGACAAAGTAGCAGTTCGTGTTGACACAAGAGGGAACAGTGATGACAGAGTAGGGGACTGTGATGACATTATAGGAAATATTAATGACACAGTAGGAGACTTTCATGACACAGTAGGAGACCAAAAAGAAACAGTAGGAAACAGTGATGACACGATAGTAGAGAGTGATGACACAATAGGTGACAGTGATGACATAATAAAAGACTGTGATGACAAAATAAAAGACTGTGATGTCACAAAAAAGACTGATGACATACTAGGATACTGTAATAACACTGTAGGAGTCTATGAGGACAGTAGGAGATTGTAAGGACACAGTGGGAGACTGTGAGGCAAAATAGGAGACTGTTATGACATAAGAGGAAACTTTGATGACTCAATACAAAACTGTAATGACACAATAGGAGACTGTGATGACACAGTAGGAGACTGTGATGACACAATAGGAGATTGTGATGACAAAATAGGAGACTGTGATGGCACATTGGGAGACAATGATGACTAAATTGGAGACTGTGATGACACAATAGGTGACTGTGATGACACAGTAGGTGACAGTGATGACACAAACATAGACAATGATGACACAATAGGAGACTATGATGACACAGTAGTAGACGGTAGAAGACACAATAGGAGATTGTGATTACACATTAGAAGAATCTGATGACACACTAGGAGCTTGTGTTGACACAGTAGGAGACAACGATGACACAATAGGAGACTGTGATGACAAAATAAGAGACTGTGATGACAAAGTAGGAGACAGTGATGACACAGTAGCAGATTATGATGACACAGTAAGAGATTTGGATGACATACTAGGAGAATGTGATGTCACAGTTGGAGACTATGATTACACAATAGGAAAGAATGATGACACAATAGGGAATGTGAACATACATTTACAGACAATGATGACACAATTGAAGACTGTGATGAAACAATAGGTGTCAGTGATGACACTATAGGAAACTGTGATGATACAATAGGAGACTGTGATGACACAATAGGAGACTGAGATGACAGAATAGAAGACTGCGATGACACAATAGGAGACTGTGATGACAAAGTAGGAGACAGTGGTGACACATAGCAGACTTTATTGACACAGTAGGAAACTAGGATGACATAGTAGAGACTGTGATGTCACAGTTGGAGACAAGTTTATACAACAGAAAGAAGTAATGACACAATAGGAGACTGTGAAGACACATTTGCAGACAAGGATGATAGAATTGGAGAATATGATGATTCAATATGTGACTGTGATGATGCAGTAGGAGACCGTGATGACACAAGAGGAGAACATGATGACACTATAGGAGACTGTGATGGCAAAACAGGAGACTGTGGTGATACAAAAGGGAACTTTGATGACACATTATGAGACTGTGATGACACATTAGAAGACCCTGATGCCACAATAGGAGACTGAGAAGACCCAAAAGAAGACTGAGATGACACAATAGAAGACTGACATGACACAATAAGAGACTGTGATGACACACATGAAACAGTGATGTCACAGTAGGAAAATGTGATGTCACACTAGGAGACAGTGATAACACAATTAGAGACCGGGATGACACAGTATGAGACTGTGATGACAAAATAGGAGACCGTGAGGACACAATAGGAGACTGTGATAACAAAATAGGAGACTGTGGTGATACAAAAGGGAACTTAGATGACAGTGGTGACTGTGATGACACAATAGGAGACTGGGATGACACAGTGGGAGACCATGTTGACACAGTAGGAGACTATGATGACACAATAGGAGACTCTGAAAACATAATAGGAGAATGCGATGATGCAATAGGAGCCTATGATGACACAGTAGGAATCTGTGATGACATAACAGGAGACTGTGATGACACATGAGGAGACAGTATTGATAATAGAGAAAGTGATGACACAATAAGAGACAGTGAAGAAACAATAGGAGAATGTGATGACACAGTGGAGAAAGTGATGACACAATAGAAGATTTTGATGACAAATTAGAAGACTGTGATGACACAGTAGGAGACTGTTATGACACAGTAGGAAAGTGTAATGACACAGTAGGAGACAGTGATGACACAATAGGAAACCATGATGTCAAAATAAGAGAGAGTGATGGCACACTAGACTGTGATGACATAAGAAGTGATTGTGATGACACAATAGGAGACTGTGATGATACACTAGGAGGCTTATATGACACAGTAGAAGATGATGATGACAGAATAAGGGATTGTGATGACACAAAAGGAGACTGTGATGACACAGTAGGAGACAGTGATGACACACTAGGAGTTTGTGATTACACAGTGGGAGACTATGATGACACAATAGGAGACTGTGATGACAAAGTAGGAGACATGATTGACACAGTAGCAGACTGTCATTCCCAGAAGGAGACTGGGATGACATAGTGGAGACTGTGATGACACAATAGGAGACTGAGATGACACAATAGAAGATTCGATGACACAATAGGAGACAGTGATTACACAATAAGAGACTGTGATGACACATAAGAAACAGTGATGACACAGAAGGAAATTGTGATGACACAGTAGGAGATAGTGATAACACAATTCGAGACCTGGATGACACAACAGGAGACTGTGACAACAAAACAGGAGACTGTGGTGATACAATAGTAGACTTTGATGACACAGTAGGAGAATCTGATGACAGAATAGGAGAATGTAATGACACAATAGGAGACTGGGATGACAGAGTAGGAGACTGTTTTGACACAATGGGAGACCATAATGACACAGGAGGAGACAGAGAGGACACAGGAGCAGACTGTAAGGACACAATAGGAGTCCATGTTGAAACAATATGAGACTGTGATGACACAATAAGAGGCCGTGTTGACACAGTAGGAGATTGTAATAACACAGTAGGAGACTATGATGACACAATAGGAGATTTGATAACAAAATAGGAGAATGTGATAGTAAAATAGGAGACTGTGATGATACAGTAGGAATCTCTGATGACATAATAGGAGACTGTTATGACACAGAGGAGACGGTATTGATAATAGGAGAAAGTGAGGACACAATAAGAGACCATGATAACACTATAGGAGATTGTGATGACACATTAGAAGACTGTGATGACATAATAGACTGTGATGACACAGTAGAACACGATGATGACATATTAGGAGAATGTGATGACACAAAAGGAGACCGTGATGACACAATAAGAGATTGTGGTGACAGAGTAAAAGACTGAGAAGACACAAAGGGAGATTGTGAAGACACATTAGAAGACTCTGATGACACACATAGGAGTTTGTGATGACACAGTAGGACAATATGATGACACAATAGTAGACTGTGATGACATAATAGGATACTCTGTGCTAATTAGGAAGTAGTGATGATATAGAAGATTATGATGACACAGAAGGGGACAGTGATGTCACAAGTGGAGAAAATGATCACACAAGAGGAAACAGTGATGACACAGTAGGAAACTGTAATGACACAGTAGGATAGAGTGATGACACAATAGGAGACCATGATGACACAATAGTAGACTGTGATGACACAATTGGAGACTGTGAAGAGACAAGAGGAGACTGGGATGACCCACTAGGAGACTGTGATGACACAGTAGCAGATTATGTTGAAAAAGAGGAAACAGTGATGACACAGTAGGAGATAGTGATGACACCACCAGAGACAGTGATGACACAGTAGGAGACTGTCATGACACAGAGGGAGACCGTGATGAAAAGAAGGAGAGAGTAATGACACAAGAGTAGAGAATGATGACACAATAGGAGAATGTGATGACATAATAGGTGACTGTGATGACACAATAGAAGACTGTAATGTCATAATAGGAGACTGGGATTACACAGTAGGAGATTGTGATGACACAATTGGAGACCATAATGACACAGGAGGAGACTGTGAGGACACAGGAGCAGACTGTAAGGACTAAATAGGAGACCATGATGACACATAGGAGACTGATGACACAATAAGAGACTGGATTGACACAGTAGGAGATTGTGATAACACAGTAGGAAACCATGATGACACAGAAGGAAACAGTGATGACACAGTCGAAGACTATGATGACACAATATGAGAGTGTGATGACACAATAGGAGAATGTGATGACACAGTAGGAGACCGTGATGACACAGTAGGAAACTACGATGACACACTAGGAGACCATGATGACATAATAGGATACTGTGTTGATAAATAGAAAATAGTGATGACACAGTAGGAGACTATGATGACACAGTTGGAGATGAGGATGACACAAAAGGGGACTGTGATGACAAAATAGGAGACTATGATGACACAATAGGAGACTGTGAGGACACAGTGGGAGACCAGAGGAAAAATATGATACCATGATGACATAATAGGAGACTTGATGAGACAATAGGAGACTGTGATGACACATTTGTAGACAATGATGACACAATTGGAGACTGATGACAAAATTGGTGACTGTGATGACACAGTAGGAGACAGTGATGACACAGTAAGAGACCGTAAAGACACAACAGGAAATTGTGATGACACATTGGAAGACTCTGATGACACAGAAGTAGACTGTAATGACACAGTATGAGACTATGATGACACAATAGGAGACGGTGATGACATAATAAGAGACTGTGATGACAAAGTAGCAGACTGTGATGACACAGTAGGACACTGGGATGACATAGTAAGAGACTGTGATGTCAAAGTTGGAGACGATGATTACACAATAGGAAACAGTGACAACACAATAGGAGACTGTGAAGACACATTTGCAGACAATGATGACAAAATTAGAGACTGTGATGACATAATAGGAAACTGTGTTAACACAGTAGGAGACTGTGAGCACACAGTAGGAGATTGTAAGGACACAAGGGTAGACTGGGATAACACAGTAGAAGTCTGTGAGGACAAAATAGGAGACTGTGATGAAACAATAAGAGACTGTGATGACACATTAGAAGACTGTGTGACACAGTAGGAGACCATGAGGACACACTAGGATACTGTGATGACACAGAAGTAGACACTAATGACAATATAGGAGACAGTGATGAAAAATAGGAGACTGTGATGACACAGTAGGAGACTTTGATAACATAAGAGGAGATTGTGATACTGCAGTAGGAGACAGTGAAGTCATAAAAGGAGATGCTGCTAAAAAAATAGGAGACTGTGACATCAAAATAACAAACTGTGATGACACATTGGGATACGGTAATGACATTGTAGAATTTGATGACACAGTAGGATTCTGTGAGGACACAATAGGATACAATGATGACACAGTAGGAGACTGAATGACATAATAGAAGACTGTGAGGGCACAGTAGGAGACTGTGATGACACAGTAGGATACTGTGATGACACAAGAGAACATTGTGATGACACAGTAGGTGACAATGATGTCATAATAGGAGACTGTGATGACATAGTAGGAGACTATGATGACACAAAAAGAAACTGTGATGACACAATAGGAGAGTGAGGACATAATAGGAGACTGTGATTATCCAACAGGAGACAATGGTGACACAGCAGGAGACCGTGATGACACAGTAGGAGACTGTTTGGACACATTGGGAGACTGGGAGGACACAATAGGATACCATGATGACACCAAATGAAACAGGATGACATAACAGGAGACTGTGATGACACTGTATGAGACTGTGAAGACAGGGTAGGATACCATTATGACTCGGTAGGAGGCGTTAAGGACACACAATATTGACAAAATAGAAGACCGTGAAGACATAAGAGGACAAATTGATGACACAAACAGAGACTGTGATGACACAATAGGAGACTGTAATGACTAAAAAGGAGATAGTTATAATATAGTAGGAGACCATGATGACACAAAAGGATACTCTGATGACATTATAGGAGACTGTGCTGTGCTGATACAATAGGAGACTGTAATGACAAAGTAGGATACTGTGATGTCATAATAGGAGATGGTAATGATACTGTAAGAGACGGTGATGATATAATAGGAGAAAGTAATGACACATTAGAAGACTATGATGACACAGTAGGAAACTGTGATGACACAATAGGATAATGTGATGACATAATATGATACTGTGATGATACAATAGGAAACGGTTATGACACAGTAACATATTGTGATGACACAATAGGAGACAGTGATGACGCAGTAAGATACTGTGATGACACAATAGGAGACTGTGATGACATAGTAGGAGAATATGGTGACATAATAGGAGAAGATGAAGAAACATTAGGAGACAGTGATGACACAAGAGTAGACAGGAATGTCACAGTAGGAGACTGTGATGACACTTCAGGATACTATGATGACAAAAGAGGAAACAGTGATGACACAATAGGAGTATTGATGACACAAAAGGAGACTGTTATGACACAATAGTAGACCGTGATATTATAGTTGGAAACAGTGAGAACACAGTAGGAGACTATGAAGACACAATAGAACACTGGGATGATATTCTAAGAAACTGACATGACACAATAGCAGATTGTGTTGACAAAATAGAGAACATGATAACACAATAGGAGACTGTGATGACATAATAGACTATGATGACACAGTAGGAGATGGTGATGACATAATATGAGAAAGTGATTACACAATAGGAGACTGTGAAGACACAATAGGAGACTGTGAAGACACAATAGGAGATTATGATGAGATATTAGAAGACTCTGATGACACAGAAGGAGACTGTGATGACACAGTAGGAGATTATGATGACACAATAGGAGACTGTGTTGACAGAATAACAGACTGTGATGACAATTTAGGAGACTATGATTACACAAGAGGAAACAGTGATAACATAATAGGAGACTGTGAAGACACATTTGCAGACAGTGATGAAAATATTGGAGAATGATGAAACAATAGGAGACCATGATGACACAATAAGAGATTGTGATGACACACAAGAGACTGTGATTACACATTAGGAAACTGTGAAGGCACAGAAGGTAACAGTGATGACACAGTAGGAAACCAAGATGACACATTAGGAGGATATGATGACACAGAAGGAGACTCTGATGACAGAAAAGGAGAATGTGATGACATAATAGAAGACTGGGATGGCACAGTAGGAGACTATGAAGACATATTAGAAGACTGTGATGACACAGTAGAAGACCATGATGACAGAGTAGGAGACTGTGATGACACAATAGGAGACGGTGATGAAACAACAGTAGAGAATGATGACAGATTATGAGACTACAATGATATAATAGGAGACTGTGATGACAAAGTAGCAGACTGTGATGACACAGTAGGACACTGGGATGACATAGTAAGAGACTGTGATGTCAAAGTTGGAGACGATGATTACACAATAGGAAACAGTGACAACACAATAGGAGACTGTGAAGACACATTTGCAGACAATGATGACAAAATTAGAGACTGTGATGACATAATAGGAAACTGTGTTAACACAGTAGGAGACTGTGAGCACACAGTAGGAGATTGTAAGGACACAAGGGTAGACTGGGATAACACAGTAGAAGTCTGTGAGGACAAAATAGGAGACTGTGATGAAACAATAAGAGACTGTGATGACACATTAGAAGACTGTGTGACACAGTAGGAGACCATGAGGACACACTAGGATACTGTGATGACACAGAAGTAGACACTAATGACAATATAGGAGACAGTGATGAAAAATAGGAGACTGTGATGACACAGTAGGAGACTTTGATAACATAAGAGGAGATTGTGATACTGCAGTAGGAGACAGTGAAGTCATAAAAGGAGATGCTGCTAAAAAAATAGGAGACTGTGACATCAAAATAACAAACTGTGATGACACATTGGGATACGGTAATGACATTGTAGAATTTGATGACACAGTAGGATTCTGTGAGGACACAATAGGATACAATGATGACACAGTAGGAGACTGAATGACATAATAGAAGACTGTGAGGGCACAGTAGGAGACTGTGATGACACAGTAGGATACTGTGATGACACAAGAGAACATTGTGATGACACAGTAGGTGACAATGATGTCATAATAGGAGACTGTGATGACATAGTAGGAGACTATGATGACACAAAAAGAAACTGTGATGACACAATAGGAGAGTGAGGACATAATAGGAGACTGTGATTATACAACAGGAGACAATGGTGACACAGCAGGAGACCGTGATGACACAGTAGGAGACTGTTTGGACACATTGGGAGACTGGGAGGACACAATAGGATACCATGATGACACCAAATGAAACAGGATGACATAACAGGAGACTGTGATGACACTGTATGAGACTGTGAAGACAGGGTAGGATACCATTATGACTCGGTAGGAGGCGTTAAGGACACACAATATTGACAAAATAGAAGACCGTGAAGACATAAGAGGACAAATTGATGACACAAACAGAGACTGTGATGACACAATAGGAGACTGTAATGACTAAAAAGGAGATAGTTATAATATAGTAGGAGACCATGATGACACAAAAGGATACTCTGATGACATTATAGGAGACTGTGCTGTGCTGATACAATAGGAGACTGTAATGACAAAGTAGGATACTGTGATGTCATAATAGGAGATGGTAATGATACTGTAAGAGACGGTGATGATATAATAGGAGAAAGTAATGACACATTAGAAGACTATGATGACACAGTAGGAAACTGTGATGACACAATAGGATAATGTGATGACATAATATGATACTGTGATGATACAATAGGAAACGGTTATGACACAGTAACATATTGTGATGACACAATAGGAGACAGTGATGACGCAGTAAGATACTGTGATGACACAATAGGAGACTGTGATGACATAGTAGGAGAATATGGTGACATAATAGGAGAAGATGAAGAAACATTAGGAGACAGTGATGACACAAGAGTAGACAGGAATGTCACAGTAGGAGACTGTGATGACACTTCAGGATACTATGATGACAAAAGAGGAAACAGTGATGACACAATAGGAGTATTGATGACACAAAAGGAGACTGTTATGACACAATAGTAGACCGTGATATTATAGTTGGAAACAGTGAGAACACAGTAGGAGACTATGAAGACACAATAGAACACTGGGATGATATTCTAAGAAACTGACATGACACAATAGCAGATTGTGTTGACAAAATAGAGAACATGATAACACAATAGGAGACTGTGATGACATAATAGACTATGATGACACAGTAGGAGATGGTGATGACATAATATGAGAAAGTGATTACACAATAGGAGACTGTGAAGACACAATAGGAGACTGTGAAGACACAATAGGAGATTATGATGAGATATTAGAAGACTCTGATGACACAGAAGGAGACTGTGATGACACAGTAGGAGATTATGA